CAACTGATGCAGGGTCTTGTTTCAGGCAGCGAATTAGTAACCAAATGGTGGGATTTTTCTTTCCAACCAGGCCATTGAAATAGCGATTCCAAGCTTCACTGAAATTGTTAGTCGCGCCAAGATCATTGAGCACAGCCTGATGAATGTTCCACTTCTGTGGTGGAAATGTTGGGGTTTGTCTGGTGAAAACAACTGGGGCAATTTTTCGGGGCACTTGACTTGATGGTCCCAAAAATGGAAAAACCCCACCATTTGGTTACTAATTTGCTGCCTGAAACAAGACCCTGCATCAGTTGCTACAAATCCGAAGAAATTTGACGAAGATGGTGTCATTCCGCATAAGCAAGTGTCGACTTTTGAGAGAGATCGCCAGAAAAAAACTGCGTCAATTATGCAAAGATTGTCAAAGCCAACTTATTGACTGCTCGGATTTCTTGGAAAATATTTCAAAGACTCTTAATTTTTTGTAAATAAAAACTTTTTCCCGTTTTTTCTTTTTTTTTTGAATTTTTTGTAATCTTTTGTTATTTGTTTTGTTTCATTTTTTTAATCATTGTTTTTCTTCAAGAGCTCGTGTACTTCCCTCAATCAGTAGCAAAGTAATGAAGTTTAACCAGCGGCGACTACCAAACTGACTACCAACGACTACCAGTCCTGAAAAAAAGTTCCCGTTGGGCTTTTGTTACAGCTGTGCGCGGGTATGGCGGGGATTTCGTGTCCCAGGCTTTCGTCGCGCGGGGATAGTGACGGTTTCCTGAGGCTCATGACCAATGAACGAAAAGTTTTTTTCTATTTTTTACAGAAAATGTGTTCATTGTTACAAATTGCTGACGAATCAGACAAGTATCTTGTTCAGAATAAAAGAAGGATGATTCAGAATAACGAATTTCAGAAATTTTCGTTCATGGCAAAGAGTTCCTGGGAATTTCAGTCAATGGTTGCACTTACAGGGGAAAGTGGTCATTCTTTGTTCCATGATTAGAACCCACTTTCCACTGAAGCCAAAGGTTGCCCTTGGATTATTCCCTGGGAACAGGGGTGAAATGAGTGAAAGTAACGCTTGGTACATATGGGGATGCACGACCTTGCCATGAGGGATCAAGCCAAGGGGTATATATGGGTCCTGAAGAGATGTTACTTCTTCATTCCAACTCTTGGCATGGACTATTTGAATGATGTGATACACCATATAACCAAGTATTCTGTGAATCATTTGTGGAAGCGCTGATGAATTTTGAAGCTTCATTGAAGATGGTGCACCTGTGAAGTGTTCACTATTCATAGTGTTTGCTATTTGTTGAAAGGTTTTTCTCGAGAGAAGAAGCATTTTCCTGGTGAGATTGATTGCTGTTATTATTTTCATAGGTCGTACATGATGTGAGGCAAAAAGTTAGTAAACGCAAGAAAACTTTCAAAGAATTTCTAGGCAATATCCTCTAATTATTACGCATCATCATGACCTATAGGCTAGCATTGAAAACTGCAATCAGTGGATGAGCAAATAGGATCAATGTATGATCAGCTCATTTAGATGAGAATAGTTCATGAATTGCATTGCATTATTAAGTGGCATTTGGCTTCATTAAGAATGTATTCATCAAAGCTTTGGACATAAATCAAGAAAATTCTTCCATTGTAGGAACTTATATTGCCTTATATTGCATTCAAATGCTTCCCTGTAAAGCATGCAAAAATGGTCAATTTCAATACCTTTGAGATTTAAAAATGGACATGATCCTCTTATCTTTGCGTCATTTGGAAAATGAGATCATTGTAGTCACACCTCATGGGAAGGCCAGAGCTTCTCCAGCTTGAAAATAATTCAACTCCAACCAGAACACATTCAACTCTTGCCTGGACATGCAAAATATTATTTTGTTACACATATTGTTCTTGTATATGGGAAGCACACATATGGCAGAAGAGATACATGTGCTAATCATGCTCACAACACAGTACCTTGTAAAACAAAATTTGAAAATTTTGAACAATGTGGATTAATCTGGCCCTAAGGTATGACCTTATTCTGCAGGACATTCATCCATGGAAATCCACAGGTATCAATGGTTTCAGGAAATCAAATGTAATCTTCTACAATAACAATAGGTACAGGAAGCATACTCAGATTCCATACTGCATACTCAGATCCCAGTTCATCACAGACTTCTTCCGTTTCCCCCTTATGCAGCTTTGATCAAATATATACCAAAGCACTTCACTCCACCAGTTATCGCAAGGACCTGAAACTGACATTCATATAAGACAAATTAGTACAGGAATGAATGTAATGGGAATATGAATAAGATGAACTTACCATCATACTCAGCAGGTTCATCCAACAGAAATATGAACATTGAATGTTGCATCTTCATTGCCAACATGAAAAATTTGGCAAATTGGATTACAGACCTGGCACTTTCTTCAAAGAAACATCCGGGTGGGGGATCAATTAGTGAACTTTTGGGATGAAATGACAACAAATCATCAAGAGAACATACCTTTCATCAACTGAATATTCACCATGAAATGTATGAAATCCTCCTGCCAAAAAGGATTTCCCATCCTTTTTGGCAGATGTGTCTTAATGGAAGCTATGTCATCCAATTGACCATCTAAAATTTTGTTCAACTTCCTTTTCTTGGTTCTGCTAAAAACCAAGTGATTTTGTAGGATGCATGTCATCCACGAGTATTTTTAAGGATGTTTGATCTAAAATTGAGAAATATCTCAAGAAATAAACTTCATCCTAAGACACAAACATTGCAATCTGGTACTTGCTGTGCTCCTCTTCAGTAATCTCCTCCTGGTGCTCAATTATTCTGGTTTGATGTTTCCTCCTTGCAATGCATTTCTTGACAAGGGGTGAATTTTTCTGTTGGACATCAATTTAAGAGTAGTTGAATTATGAACCAAAAGATGCATACAAAACATATACCTTATTCTGATTCACACATTTGTTTTTTTCCAAATTGTTTTCTAGTGCACACTAGCTCTGCAAAAACAAACTCATCAGCAAAACCTCAGAGAGATCTCCCAAATGACAGAACAAGAAACATGACCGTTGCAAATGCATGGCACACATGACTGAAAGCAGGAGAGGTCAATACCTCCTGCCTTGGGTTTCAGATAATCCATAAGTTTTGAGTCAGTGGTAAAACTTAAACAAATTGATGCAAACCAATTTTGACATTCAATTTGCCAGGCCAGGGTCAAGCCAAAACTCTGAGGTGATCAAACATACACATGGGGTACATGACCACCAACAGGAGAGGTCAATACCTCATGCCTTGGATTTCAGATAATCCCCAAGTTTCAAGTCTTGGCTAAAAATCTCAAATGTTTTGGTGAACCAATTGTGGCATACAATTTCATCTTCCTGTGCGTAGCATCTAATATTAGAAATTGCCTTGAGATGAGTGAACAGTTCTTGTGTCCCTCTTGACTCAGTTGAAATTTGTTTCAACTGATTTGTAATGCTAAGGTAATTATCATTTACCTTATTGGGATTCATCCCTAGGAAATGATGTGCATAGATGCTCCTTACATGACCTTCTTCAAGTTGGAAGGCCTCAATTAAATTCCTTATCCCCTTGTTAAGGCCTACAAAAGTTTTAACAAAAAGATTGTGCCAACCTCCTGTAGCAATGTTGGTTCCTGGCATGTCACCAATTAAGCTGGACAAAACATTCCAAGTTTGAACTGGAAAATGAGGCATCATTCTTCTTTCAGGTGGCCTATTATTTATTATGTTTCCTATGTAAATTGACTGAAAGTAATTGTAGATTAACATGAAACGATTCCTTATCAAATCACTAGCAGTGATGAACAGGGGAAATGTCAAGATCTGTTCAAAGTCATCTAAACCATCATTAAAAGGTATGAAAACAACTGCAGGCAACAGTCCTGCAAGCTTTGTGAATGTTGAATTCTGGAAATACTGGTCTGAAGACCCTGTACTTTGAAGTTTGTGGAACACACTCCGCCCAAGGCAAAAAAACAAACATCCTTCAATTTGATTAGCTGGGTATATGATTTTAATTCACTGCCTAGCAGCCTCTTCAAAATGAGAAATGAATTTTCTTGGTCTGACAAGGGCAACTTTCTCCTTTACGTCTGTGAAAATCAATTCATATTATGCACTCTTATTCTTCTTCTCACACAAAATGTACAAACAGGGAATAATTGTACCTGAAAAAAACATGGATTGTCTAGAGCTGTTCAAAGAATTTTGGCACAACTTTGAATGTTCCATCCCCTGACCAGTCCGTACTTTCAGTCATCCATTCTAATCCCCTTTTAGTTCCAAACATAACAGATCTACTTTATTTCAAAGTCAAACATTCATAGAAAATGCATATCAGAGGCCTTCAGCATGCCACCCCCTAACCTTTTTTGGGCTTTCACCATCCCATACTCTTGTGGGATAATGAAATCCTTACTTCTCCTCAGGTGTGGAGGTAGATTCAGCAACTGTCTTCTCAACTTTTGTTTTGCCCTTTTCATATCATGAGCATTACCAATTCTTGATGAAGCCCTGAATGATAAATTGGAGCCACATGTAACACATGCAACAATTCTTTGAACCAGTTCCTGGGAACAATGAACACTTTGCTCCAACACTTCTGCTCTAAAAAGAGTCACTTCTGCTGCAGCACTGTCAGCCAGATGATTATGATTCCTTGTGACTCTCACAATGTCTTCTCCACCAAGGTTCTGGAAGCATAAAGGAGTACTAGCCTTCTGTCTGCATGGGTAATTCTCACATCTCCAAGAAACACCTCTTGGCCCTTTTCCATTTGTCCATTGTATAAATATATGCATTAGATGCAATTTTGGGTTGCTTGCAGATTGAGCTGCAAACTGAAACATTTGATACCAATATTCTCCTTGTTGTAGCCACTCAACCAATGTTGAACTTTGTTCATCCAAGTCTGCCACCTCCTGTTCCCATTCTTCCAGCCAAGCTTGTTTTGTTGAAGAACTTCTATTGCACCTTTTCAACTCTGCTGAAAGTCCCTTTTTGCCATTTGGGCAATGCTTTGATTGCAAACAACCTCAGCATGATCCAAAACCCACTTCCATTCCCTTGGGTTGAGTTCCTGGAGATCCTTTGCTCATTTCCTTAATTCACTTTGCAATTGTATTGTTCCAGTCAAGTCCTCCTGGACCATATTGATGTTCTCAAATGGTTCTGAAAAAATTTATAGTGAGATTTAGTTATTTATAAATTAATATATAAAATCAACATCAATATTCATTCTGCAAAACTGATAAGTTTTGAAAATTCCTACCCAGAATAGAATCAGTTTCTTCTCTCTCCAATGTTAACTGCTCCTCCTGGAGCACCCTGAAAGTAGTGTTAAAATCATCATCTTCAAGATAAAAAAAACATAGAGATTGCATTTTTTATCATCAACATATTCTAATTTATTCTTCAATGAACTTCAAGATACCAACAACAGGAGGGCAAACTGCATCACCATCAGTAAAATTGCAATCCACCATGTCTTTTTGATTGTTCTTTTTCAAATTTGTATAGTTTCTTGTAAAATTAGAATTTTTTGTTTCTTTAAGGAAAAAATCACAAAATCT